CCAGCATTGGGCAGATGCCTGGTACAGAAGAGATGTCAGCGAGTGTTCAAATAACCCAGGCTTTCATGTACATCATCTCATCCGAACCTCATCACCTCTCTAAACGGTTAAGTAACAATAACCATCCCTGTTTGATAGAGAAGGCAACTGTGTCTGAGAAAGTACGAGATTTGTTGGAAGTCTGGTTAGGGACAGAAAGGAATGCACCACTTTCCCTTGCTCTTCCTCCAGCTCTTGTTTGTCAGTCCGGTTCAGAGACCCCAGCTTCCAGGCCTGAAAGCTGATACTGACTCCAATTCTTGGAGTTCAAACTTAGGTGAGAGTGGTGGGAGACAGCTGCCAATGCTTTGACTCTACTCTGCTGCTTCTTCCCAACCCTGGGCATTGTCCAGCAGGGGTCCAAGCCCCCCTCCCACCTCTGGCAACCTATTAACTTCTTATCTGGGGAGCTGGGGGATCTCATAGCTCTTTGGCTTATAGATGGGCATTCTCCGCAGGTTGCTCTTTATAGAAACTCAAAGCTTTTCAGGTGCCTCTTCCCGGGATCAATAGGTTTTTATTCCTCCCCCTAGGCTGAGGAATCAGAGCTGAGATGGTGTTAGCTTGGCAGGTAGAAAGCAAGGGAAAATGATGTCGTTGCAGGATTGAGCAGTTCCTGGCTCCATTTCCCTACCCCTACATATCCCAAAGCAGGTCACACATCCAGGAGAGAGGTGGGAGGCACCAACAGCAGAAGAGGCCTGGGGAGAAGGGGAAATTCTCAAGCTGACTGGGAGCAGTTGCTGCCCTTCGGGGATAGGTGAGGTGTTTCACAGCTTCCCTTGCCCTTCTTATCCTCCCCTGCAGGGAGGGGTTAGGATTAGGAACAGACATTAGAGTTTAGAAAGGTTAGTGTTTGTCTGAAGTTAGGGTTGAGGCTAAGGTTCAACCTAGACCTAGGGACAGGAAGAGGATTAGAGTTAGAGATAGGTTTAGGGCCGGGAGCAGGATTAGAACTCCCACTGACTCTGGTGAATGTGCGCACGGAAGTATCACATTGGTGATGTTAGGAACAGAATCCTCATTCTGGCTCTTTATGCGAATGGCTAGCTTAGTGGTTTAGTTATGGACCACATTAGGGTTTCCTTTGCTTACATTGGTTTAAGCCTAGCCTGAATTTGGATTCTAGCCCACCTGCTCCCTTCTCTCTCATCAGCGTCTCTGAGCTTCTGGGTCCAGCACCAGACTCATCACCTATTATCTGGATCCCCCTGAGCCCAAGATTGGGAGCTAGGGTCCTAATAAGGTATTTATTAGGTAAATATAGTGTGTGTGTGTGTGTGTGTGTGTGTGTGTGTGTGTGTGGAGAGAGAGAGAGAGAGAGAGAGAGAGAGAGAGAGAGAGAGAGAGAGAGAGAGAGGAGAGTCTCCCAGTGGCTCAGGCTGGTTTCAAACTCCTGGGCTGAATCAATCTGCCTGCCTCAGTCTCCCAATGTGTTGGGATTACAGGCGTAAGCCACTGCACCAGGCCGGCATTTACTTTTCTGGTAGTGGAAGTGCTTCAACCTTGTCCAATGCCCTGACCACAGCTGAAGAAGCCAGGCTTCAGGGACCAACAGCTCTACATCAGGGGCAGCAGCACCCTTTCTGCTTTAGTTTTTCTTCCTACTTTTTGGAACATGGTCACAGTTATTCAATAGCAGCTAATTTTCTCAACAGCTCTTCCAGGCACTGAGATTGTTTAACCCACATTCACCAAGTCATGCACTTGTCCATGTCACACAGTTAGTTGCTGTTCCACGAGGAAGAAGAACCCTGCAGGACTGTTTGGCTCCTGACCAGGTTCCTCTCTCAGGAGAACTGGATTCCCAGTGGTCTCATTAGGGTCATCCAAGGGTCAGAATCTCAGGGCCCTCTGGCAAAGCTAGAAAACCAGTCACCCAACAGTGCATTCTATTTGTTTGAGAGAGATAAGCCTTCAAGCCTGGGAGTGGTAAAAGGAGAGGAAAGGGGACACCACAAGGTTGTGTTCTGCATTCAAGGAAAAGCCACCAAGTCATCGATAAAAATAGAGATTTTATTCTGCAGAGGAAGATGCTACATTGGTGGGGGCGAGGAGCCACTAATAGCTACAGGGGAAGGAAATACTGATTCCAGGAGGTGAACGCATCTTTGAGAAACTGAGGAGAGAAGAAGGACCAGAAAAGGCAGGAAGGAGAAAGGAGAGAAGAGTGGAGAGGGACTGGGTTGGGGTGGAGGTGGTCTTTGCAAACCAGGCTGGGACCCAGCACAATAAATAGTTTTATTTACAACATCCAAACTCGTGGCTCTGTATCCACGTTTCAGTGCAAATTATTTACACACTGATGAGGAGGCAGGACAGGAAGGGGTAGGAGGTGGCCCAGGGAGGCATGGCTCACAGCTGTTCAGTGGCTCAACAACAGAGACTGGGAGAATGAGGGCATTTCTGCTGGTTCCCCCAACCTCATTTCCACATCATCACAGCTGCCCTTTTACCCTGAAACCTCCCCTTGCAGCTGCAGGTGGGGAGGAGAAAGGCCCTGATGCTCAAGTGTGGGTTCAGGGTCTGCACCCACGGCAGGAGAATAGGAAGGTGCCTGGGAGGACCCGGATAAAAAGCAAGACAAAGGGGAAGAGAGAGGCAGAGAGGTCGCTGGCGTGATGGAGGAGGCAGAGTGACACCATCAGGAGCTAACTCCACGGTGGAGAGGACCCATCCTCTCACCTCCTGGCCAAGCAGGGGGCAGTGCAACAAGGGGTCTCCCGCGGAGAGGGAGGGAGGTAGGTCCGGAGCAGGTCCATCAGGATGGCAAGAGGGTTCCTGCCGCCCGGGCAAGTGGTTTGAGGAGTCCCCCGGTAGGAGGAAGTGGGAGAGATGGGATACGTATGAACCGCAGGAGGCGTGACCGGAGGTACTCGGGTGGGAGAATAACAGGGTCTTGAGTACCAGCGAGTCTGTTGGGGGAGGGCTCGAGGGGGAGCGTTCCTGGGGTGAGTCCGCGCAGCGCCTCACAGACACTCGTGCAGTACGCGCGTGTGCGTGCAGTTGCGGCAGCTGACGTGGCAGCACCAGTGGAAGGTGCAGTTGCAGCGCTCGGTGACGCGCTGCGTGCGCGTGCGGTGGCCCCTGCCGCAGCAGAGCAGCTCGCAGCCGTCCAGCGCGGGCGAGGAGCTGTTACAGGCGCGCCCTGCCGTGCCCGCTGTACCCAGGCGTCCGCTGTACGTGCAGAAGTTGGGCGATTTCTCAAAGTAGACGAGGTCGTGGGGGGAGGGCGGTTTGTGGGCTGGGTCTTCCGGCTCCAGGCGCAGCAGCTCCGCCCGCGAAGCGCGGTTGCTGCCGCGGTTGCCGTAGAGGACGCGCGAGGCGCCGTCGAAGCGGTCGCGCAGCACGTCGCCCACGGCACGCAGCGTGGGCAGCCGCATCCAGCACGTGCGCACCGTGCACGAGCCGGACATCCCGTGGCACTTGCACTCCTGGCGCATCTCGGAGAATACGGTCTGCGGGGAGAGGGGAAGAAAGAGTGTCCCAGGGCACCCGGCCAGAGCCAACCGCCCAGACACTGCCCCCTCCCGGACGCCATGGGGGCCGGACCTCAGCAAAGCGCCAGGCCTAGCTGAGCCCAGGAGAAGGGAGGCGCGAAAAGTTCCGCTGAGATTTGGAAACCCGGCCCAACCCTGCTCCGCCCCGGAGAGTCAGTCTCGGCCTCTCAGGCGTATTTTTCGAATCTGTCCAGTGAAGAGACTGTGCTTGATTTCACCTCTTCTGTTCCAGCTGCTAGCGGGACAGGCATCCCTTTGCCCTCAGCCACTGACTGTCTCCTCTATCCTCTGGCTTCGTTCCAAGCCTCCTGCTCTCCCAGGACGCCCTCTCCTGGTGCCCCTTGCCTTGTCTCACCGACTGTCACTTCCCCAGCCCGAGACTGGCCCCTGCGGAGCCTCTCCAAGCTCACCGTGCGACCCGCCTCGTTGTTGTGAAGGTTCATGAGGAAGCGCAGGTCCCGTCCCTTCTCCCCGGAGTCCACGAACTCCCGGCCAAAGAGGCGACCGAAGTCAATGTTGTCGCTGCAGCCCCCCCAGTGCCAGTCGGGGCCCCCGGGGCCGCGCCGCCGATAATCACATGTGCAGGATTCAATGGAACCCTCTGAGCAGGAGCGCGCCACCGAATGGGTGACCCCCGCGGAGGTGATAGCGAAGATAAACGCCGTTTCTCGACAGCCTGTGGGAGAAAGGAGCGGGGATCAGCAAGGGGGCACGTGCGGCACGGCCAGCACCCTCACTGAAGGGCTTGGGACCCCGGAATCCCACCCCCGACTCCGCACTTAGAGTCCTGAGAGCCAGGGCGGCAGTGCTGGAAAGCTGGTTCCCTAGGGCTCGTAGAGAAAGCAGGTGCGTGGGCATGCAGCCACGTCCACGGGCGTAATCACACCTTACTGGGACACTCCAGGGCGCATTTTGGCTCGACAGCGGAAGTCGAGCAGCCCCAGAGAGAAAAACCGAAGAGAGTGGAGCGGAAGAACAGTACATCCCCAAGACTTCTTCGCAGTCCAAAACTTTCGGCCCATTTTGGCGATGCAAGCCTTGCTGGGCGGGAGGCAAGACACACGCCTGCAGAGAGCGGCTTCCCAGGAGCTTTTGAGAGAGGCTGGGGGAAAACGGTGGTGAGCCGGCATCCGAGACCCGAAACTTTCTTTATCTGTGGCAGTAGCTCAGAAAAGTTAAGCTTCGTTTCCAGGGTGCACGGCTGGAAAACGCCTGGTAGAAGTCTGGCCCGGAGCTGGCGCTGGACACGAGGCACTTGGCGGGTCGTGTGACCCTCCAGGCGCCTGAGACACCTTCTCTGTACACGCCCGCCCATGCCCTGGGGGTGACCCCGCGTTTCCCCTGCTCCCGGAAGCGTCGCCTTCCTGGTCACCCACCTCGGTTGACGATCTTGCCGAAGAGGTGGGGCCCTGGAGCAGTGGGGCAGTTCCAGCGGCGATTCCGGAACTGCCACTTGCACTCGCGCACGGCGCTCTGCAGCCCCCCGCTCACGCTGTGCAGGATCCCCGGATTTTGGCGTATCAGACGCCGCTGTTTGCGGCTCAACAGCTGCAGACTGGGCTCGAGTACCAGTTGCAGACTCTTGGAGTCCGTCAGCAGGTTCGTGGAGGAGGCTACGTTCACAATACCCCTGGTGGGACATATGATAGCTCAGGCTCAGGAAGGGGACCCGCACCCTAACCATAAAAACTGTGCCACCCGGTCCTTTTCCTGGCGGTACGTGCATGGAGAGGGTGGCGGGAGATCAATAATGCGGTAATGACTTTGCGCTCTCAGGCTCACTAATTTGAAAGAACTGGGCTTCCAGACTTGTGTGTGCCCAGGAGTCCCAGGGCTGCTCGCCTGAGCCCTAGGTCCGGAGACAGAGAAGGCACCCGGGGACGGAGTTTCTACCTTGGATCTCCGAGCCTCTTCCGGTCAGCCTGAGCGAGATAATGAGGGCCTGCAGTTCTTGCCCACCCAAGGCGTGAAATGCTTACGAGTTCCCACCCTCTTATCCCCTCCTTTCTAAGCGAACGCCTGGCCCTTCACTTCCCGAGGTGGGAAAACCTGTGGTGAGGCCACCGCCGTAAGGCTGCAGTTGGCGCTCGAAGGGGAAAGGCGGTGCTAGATGAGAGTGGGCTCCCTGCCTGGGGTATGTTAGGCCTCCGCGGGTGGATCATTGGCCCCACTTCTACAGAGCTGGAGTCTGGGGCAACTCCACGCCAGATCGCCCTTCGGTGTCGTCGCGGAGGGAGGTCAAAACGGGGAGGGAGCCTGTCGGCGGACGGATCCCAGAGCGTGGGAGCTGGGTAGGGTTGGCCCCTGGCTCTGTGCCGCGGGACAAGTGGCGACCCCGCACTAGCTCACTTACCACCATCGGCCACTGCTGTTGGCAGCCAGGGCTGCGGGCAGAGCGGCCAGCGCCAGCAGCAGCGTAGCAGAAAACCAGCCAGGCAACAGCGCCCAGAGCCCCATGGCCTGCCTGGCTTTGCCCGCTCTGTGCTACAGTTGCGGCGACTTTGGCTGTTGCCCGCGACGATGGGACGGGACGCGGCGGTGGCGGCAGTGGCGAGAGTTCTCAGTCTGGCTTTAACAACCCTGGGGGCGGGCGGCGGACAGCATAGCTCGCGGTCCCGGCTGGTGGGCTGAGGCGGCCACGGCGGGCGGCACCGCCTCTTATAGTTGCGGCGCTGGCTGAAATGACGGGAGGAGGCTGCCCCACCGGGCCGCGCTGTGACACCAGGGCGCACCGGTTAGGGGCGCAGACAATGGGCAGCGAGCGGGACTGTGGTTCCCGCCCGTCTGAGCTGAGAGCTGACGGGCTGGCCGTCGGGGCTCACCCCCGCCCCCTGCTCGGTGGCCCCCGCCTCCGGGCCTGCACTGGCCGCGGACCCCTCCCCTTCCTTGGGACACCCTCCCACGCGCGCCCGCCTCACTCGGCTGAGCGTCCGGAGCCCGTCGGGGACTAGCATCCGCCAGGGGGCGCGACGAGCGTGTGCTGCGGGTAGAGCCTGCCGAGGGCCCAGCCCGCCTCGCCGCCGTGGGGCTGTCCCCTCGACGTCACCCCGGGCCCCACCGGTGTCCCCTCTCTCCCCCATCCTGAGTGTCGGAAGGAAAGCTGTGGTTCCGGGCAGCGACTCCGGGGAGAGGCTTAACCGCCCAGGAACCCTCGATGGCTGGACAGAGAAGGAAAAGGGGGAGACGGGGGCGTGAGTGCGGCTGTGGTCAGGGAAATCCCGGGTATGAGTTGTGGGGGTGAGCTGACCAAAAGGATCCTAGCGGTGGAGAGAAACCTGAAGCAGCAGGCAGTTTGTTCATGTGGGTCAGAAGAAGCGCACAAGTGGCCTTCTGTGTGTGTGTGTGTGTGTGTGCGCGCGCGCACGTGAGAGAGAGAGAGAGAGAGAGAGAAGTGGGACAATGTGAATATGGCTGGGAGTGAGAATGTGCTATGTTCTGAGGGTGCATCCTCCTGTGTGTTGGTACGTGCAGAAACTCCTTGTTCTGACGAAGGATGTTAGGAAACTTTCCAAAGAATTTTGGAATTTAGCTCAAGTCAGAAAGGGTCATGGAGTCATCTTGTCACAGTCACCGCCTGGGGCAGTGTGTCAAGAAGGAGGTGGCAACTGTCAGAAGGAGACACAGAAGCATGATTGAGGGATGGAAGGTGTCTGGACTGTGTGTGGAGTGGGTGGATGAGCGTGTGCATGGGAAGATTAAATATGTGTGTATGCGTCACTCTGTTGCCCCTTGTACCTCGTGGCATCCTATGGTGTGTCACACTGTAGTATGTGTCAACCAGTGCATGTCATTGGGGGAGAGAGCCGAGCCTACAACCAAGGTGAACCTAGCCTGGAGTGGCTGTCTCTGAGGCCTAGGCTCAGAAAGGATGGGATGTGGTGTGGATGTCCAGTGGACGTATGGTGTTGGAGAGGACTGGGAAAACACAGGTTGCTGGCTGCATTGAACTTGTGTCTCCATGTGTTTGCTTCTCTTTGGATTTTTCTGCCAAGTTTCTGTCTTCCCCCAAAGCTCTGGTTCCCACCACACTGGGATACCCAGAGTGCCTGTGACCATCTCATCCATTGCACACTTTTCTCTTCTCTCCCAGGGACTCCTGCTCAGCTTCAGGGCCACTTTGGCCTCCTATTGAAGAAGTGGCTGCTGTTCCCTATATGGGGAATAGGGGGCACTGCCAGCCTGGTTATCATGCCCCACCACTACACACAGATGGCCCCTGGAAGGAGGGAAGATCTTTACATCTCTTCTCTCTCCCCATTTTACAGAATTAAAAATAGATCAGGCAGTTGTCCAAGGTCCACATCTAATAAATCAATGGTAGAGCCAGATTAAAATTCAGACCAATTTGACTAAAAGCCCATGCTCTTCCTGCCTTACCAGCTGCTTGCCAGTGTGCAGGAGTTGCAGGCTGGGAACCCTTCTCAAAATTGATAGATAAGTAAGCATAATTTTTAGGGCCTTCTTGCCTCCCTTTTGAGTTCTAACTCTCACTGGTTTCATCACCCTTGTTTTTTAGGATGCCTTCTTACTGAGAAATTTCCCCAGGCCTGAACCTTAACAGTCTCAAGTCCCAGAAATGACGAGGCTTCCCTTCCAAGGCAGGAAAATCACTCTAAGGAATAAATGCCAGGTCAGTTTAATTAATATTCCTGGGTACTTGTGTTTTATATGAGATGTATATTAACCCAAATGAAGCCTGATGAAGGTTATTTTAGATAGAAATGTTCTTCTTCTATCCTCGCCCCCCCTTTTTTTAGATGGAGTTTTACTCTTGTTGCCCAGACTGGAGTGCATGGCACGATCTCAGCTTACTGCAACCTCCACCTCCCAGGTTCAAATGATTCTCTTGCCTCAGCCTCCCAAGTAGCTGGGATTACAGGCATGTGCCACCATGCCCAGCTAATTTTGTACTTTTAGTAGAGACAGGGTTTCTCCATGTTGGTCAGGCTGATCTCGAACACCTGACTTCGTGATCCACCCACCTCAGCCTCCCAAAGTGCTGAGCCACTGTGTCCGGCCCTCTTTCCCTTTCTTTCCCCTATGCCCAGCCCAGCATATCTGGCCCATCCAAGGATTCACCCCTGAGGGAGAAGGTGTACTGATCCAGCATCCTCCCCAGATCCAAAAGCCAGTAGCCCCCACAGAAAGCACCCGGCATAGATGGCTCAAGTAAATGAACAATGTACCATGGGGAGTCTGTCCTTCATCCCTTAGGAGTTTCTCTTCACTGGGGCCTGGGTTACATCTTTTGGCCTGGTGGATTGATACAACACCATGAGGGTGGGAAGCTGGCTGGAAGATATGGAAGCCCTGTCTGTGACCACTGGTGTCAAGCAGAGGTGGGAAGAGGGGAAAGGAGCCACTGTGCTTTGTTCCAACATTCCACCTACCAGGAGTAGGGGGAATGAGGGGAAGAGGGGAAGGCCCCTAGGTCTGAGTCACAGTGTGTATGACCTAGTTCACATTTCTTTTTCTTTTCTTTTTTAAAATATGCATGTGCGTGTCATCCTTGTACAGGGGCGGTGCTAATCTCTGTATCATTCCAGTTTGAGAATACGTGCTGCCAAAGCAAGCACCCAAATTTCTATTTAGATCGAATCATCATGTTATCAACCATCCCCTCTTTCTTTCCTGCACCATCCATTTGGCTCTCTCCTGGAACATACCCATAAGCATGCAGACATGCTGCAATAGTACCCATCTAATAAACCCCAAAACTTCGTTAGACCCCATGTCACTGTCCAAGATTGCTCCATTTCAGTGCTGCATTTTACTGCAAAACTCAAAATGGTTGATTTAATTACTAGAGCCAATTTATTTCTTTTCTTTCTTTCTTTCTTTCTTTCTTTCTTTCTTTCTTTCTTTCTTTCTTTCTTTCTTTCTTTCTTTCTTTCTTTCAGATGGAGTTTTGCTCTTATTGTCTAGGCTGGAGTGCAGTAGCATAATCTTGGCTCACCGCAACCTCCATCTCCTGAGTTCAGGCAATTCTCCTGCCTCAGCCTCCTGAGTAGCTGGGATTATAGGTGCATACCATCATGTCCAGCTAATTTTGTATTTTTAGTAGAGATGGGGTTTCTCCACATTGGTCAGGTTGGTCTCAAACTCCTGACCTCAGGTGATCCACCCATCTCGGCCTCCCAAAGTGCTGGGAAAACAGAAGTCTGATTAGTTCAATTCTCTGCTCAGAATTTTCCAATGAGTCCCCATCTCACTCAAAGTAAAGGGGCCTTCCTTCCTGAGCTTCACTGACTACCACACTCTCCATTGTGAATTCCTCCCCACCAGCCCCACTGGCCTCTTTGCTAATCCTTTGAACCAAGCATACTCCTTTCTAAGGGTCTGTGCACCTGCTTTTCTGTCTTCTAAAATGCCCTTCCTCAGATCTCTCCATGTATTTGTTCCCTCACTGAGTTTTTCCTCTCCCTTCGTAAAATGGAATCCCACTACTAATGTCCTTTACCCTGCTTCATTTTCCTCTGTATCAGTTTTGACCATGGATAACTTTAAAGGCTTGAAGTTGAAAATCGGTAGCAATCTACCCCCTGGAATCGGGTAGAGATGAGATCTTAGAAGGGAGAGGGGCTTTGCCTTGACTTTGGGATCTGGGGAGGAAGCAGGGGACCAGGGAGAGTTTGTGGGCAGAGGAGCCTACCCTCCTTTGAAGCACCCGTGGGCAACACTGCCCCTTGGTCTGGAAAGGCACAGCCCATCCATTAGGCCTGAGTAGAGAAGGGGGCAAAATTCTAACGTAATCCCACGGGTTTGTTGGGGTGAACTGCTGAAAGTGGGGTCTTCCTGAAAGTCCAGTATCAGCCTGTGGGCCCTTTGGTGCCTCCAGGTGGTGGCCTACAGTGCTGCAGCAGAAGGCGCATGAGGCAGAGGGTGGGCAGCGCAGCTGAGCTCACCGCCACGGGCGCATCCATCCCTCCTGGGCCTATAATTTGGGTTCCCCAGGCCTGGCCACCCCTATCAGCGGCTCAGCAACAGATGAGTCACCCGGGACCCCGGGCCAAGGCAAACATGGGGGGAGGAGGAGGAGAAAGCTTCCGAGGCTTTAGCCACCACCGCCTCAGTTGCTCGACATCCCCCAATCTCCAGGGGCCCCCACTCTTTCTTTGACTCCCGCCCTCCAGGGCCCCAGTGTTCTTCCCACATTGCTCTCATTACACCCTCCATCCCTAGGATGGGAAGGGCAGCCCTCCAGTCTTCTCATCTAGGGGAAGGGACACCAGTTTGCTCTAGTCCCTCCCTGCAGTGATGAAAGCCCCCCACTTTCCCCCTCCTGTCATTGGCCCCAACCCATGTCAAGGTCTCTCTGGTTCCCGTCCCTCCCCTTTCCTGGAGCTGGCTGCGTGCTTGGGGTATTAGGCAATGGGTGTGCACCCGCAGCCCTCTCCAGGCCCCGCCTGTCCCACCGCCCTCTAGCTGCCTGCGGGTCAGTGCTCAGGCCAGCCGGTCGGGTTGAGGGCACTGTGGGCCAGCTCAGGCCACCCAGTCTGCCGGCCTGTGGCCTCCTGTCCCAGATATGGGCTTCAGTAGAGAGAAGGAGCAGGACTCTGGGTCTTTGGATTTGGAACAGTCCCACTTGGGGAGACCTGGGGTCACTAGGGAGTTGAAACCTATTGTGGTAGTTCTGTCCCTCAACCCTTCTTGGCACCTGACTGCATGCTGGAGACTGGCAAGGGTAGAATCAGAAGGCAAAAAATAATCCCAAACCTAAGGGGGAACCCAGCGACGCATGGAGAAATACAGATGTCCATGAGGTCCCCATGGAGAAGAGAGGCTTAGGCAACCTCATTCCCCTATTCCAAGGACCTGGCAGGAATCCCAGGCTGACTGCAGGAGAAAGGATAAGGACACTGGCAGATCACGAACCCAGGTGTAAGAATGAAAACTGAGATGGGGCTTGCAGATTCTGGTGACCTCGAAAACCACACGTGGTTTGGCTCTTGTGCTCTAAATGGGAAGAAGGGTCAGGAACTCTAGGGCTCCCTCTTCCCCATCCCAGAGGTGGGGAATCAGAGAAAAGCAGCCTGATCCAGGCTGTCCTGTGTCAGGGACCATGGCACTTTCACCTCCCCAGACTGCTCACAGCCTGGCACAAAATGATCTGTAAATATCCCAACAGATACAAGTCGCTTGACCTCCTGTCTCAGATTGCTGTGCCCGCTATCCAACAGTGACCCCTGCAGCATGGGCAGGACCTCCAGCAGCACAGGCTGGAGGCTGACTGCCCAGCAGAGCTGCACCACCACCATCAAGGAAGAGGTGACTGTGGTTGTGGGTATCATCCCTGTGCCTCTGCTTGCTGGGGGGCAGTCTGAGTCAATGTGCCTGGGGCATGTGGGGCCAGCCATGCCTTGGGCTGCGGTCTGGCAGGGGCGGGGGGCGGCTGGAAAGCCTGGGGCCCCTCTCTGGCAAAAATAGCCCACAGTGGTTACAGCTTCGAGGGTGAGTCAGGCGGGAGCGCAGTGGCGCCTAACCCCTTCGCTGCCACTGGATCTCCCTAAGGCGGTTTGCCTTTGCCTGTGCACCCCAAGACAAGGCTCTTTTCCGACTGCCCTTGGACTTGGCTCAATTTTGGATCCCAAGGCCTTCCTCATCCCATCAGAAGGAAGTCTGCAGCTTGGAGCAGGAATCCAGGCCACCCAAAGTGCAGACTGGGGAATCCCGAGAAGGGTAGGAGACCTCTATTGGTAAGCATCCCTGCCAGCAAGGAAGCATCAGGGCAGGCTGAGGATCTCTGGGGCTACCTGAACCTCCACCAGAGCCAAACTGAGGTGAAAGCTGACCCCTCCAAAGGGGCAGGCACGGGGCTTGGAGGTGGGTGGGAACCAAGCTGCCCAGACCTGCACTTCTCCTGACTGCTCTGAGTGCCCTGGATGTGGGCACCACATGTGACTGTCCCACACTGAGAAGCCCAAAGACTGTCCGGCTCCCATCTTCATCTTGTCAAAGGCACCTTCCAGCCACCCTTATCTCAGTGGAGAAAATGATGCAAAAAGAAGTATTGAAAGATGTGGCCACTTGGGCCCCATTCTGGCTCTCTAGGAAGGTTACTACACCCTCCCTGCAGCTTTGGTGACCCCAGAGCAGGTAAGAGGAACTCTGGCCACCTCCTTCTTCAGTGGGGCCAAGCCTGAACCCAGGCATTGGGCGAGAAGGTGTGTGTGTGTGTGTGTGTAAACGCTGGGAGGAGGGGGAGCGGCTTCGTTCGCCTGGTCAAGGCGGGGAGTGCAGGATAGGGTGGGGAAGCCCCAGGCTCAGGGAGGGGCTGCAGCTCCGTCAGCCCAGCAGAGCCATCGAGGGCTTGGCGCAGGCAGAGCCAGAGCCCCCGTCCTTTGCTTGCCGGCTTGCTAGCTCTCTCGAGCACTCCTTCCCTTCCTCCCTCCCTTCCTCCCCACGGCCAAGCGGCGCTGGGGAAGCGGTGAAGAGGAGTGGCCCGGCCCTGGAAGAATGCAGCTCTGCCAAGGCGACGGAACCCAGTGCAGTCTCCCCACGGTTTAAGCAGGACTAGTGAAGCTTAGGCAACCCAGCCGTGCCTGTCTCGGACCTCGCACCCAAACCACTGGAGGTAATTAGACCTGGGAAAGCAGGGAGGGCAGGGACAAGAACACTGGGAAGACAGGCACGTGTGTAGTCAGACAGACAGACACGCATCCATCCACAGAAGCATGGAGACGCTTAGAGAGCCAGAGATATTGCTAGAGATAAAGACACAGAGAAATAAAGGAGTGCCCCCAGATTTAGAAAGCAATGAACTTGAGAGCAAAGGGATGAGGACCAGAACGATGCCTGTGGAGGAGGAGAGCTTGTAGTTAGGCAAGGTGGGGGATAGGGAAGAGGACTCAGTCTGCGCCACAGTCCCTTTTAGAAGGGAGCCAGGATCTCCCTCCCATCTTTCCTGCACCTGGAGCCCCTCCTCTTTCCTTGCTGCTCAGGGAGGGTGCAGTGTGGGTGGGGAGCCCATTCTTAGACCTTTATTATGGAGCCAGCTTGGCCTCGATGACTCCTGGAGGTGACACCCCCTTAGGTGGTGGGGAACCCCCTCCTTATCCCACTCCCTAGCCCTTTGAGGGTGGGGAAGCTAGTCATGGGGCCCTGAAAAAGGGAGCAGTAGGCGAGGTTGTGGAGCAAGTGTTTGTGAATCTGTGTGTCTGAGTTTGCATGTGAGTGTGTCTGTGTGCCGGGCTTTGTGTCTGATTGGACGGGGTTCCAGCGGTGCTCACGTGAGTCCTGAGCTGGGACTACACCTGGACTCTTCCTCTTTAAGACCTCCAAGTCTCAGGGACTCTGGGAATCAAGTGGTGATTCTTATTGTTTTGTTTGGGGAGGAATGTGAAGGGTCAGTAGGGTGGCATCGGTGGGTTAGGAGCCTGAAGAAGGGCATCACTTGGTTTCCCAGGCGAGCCGCCTGATTCCTGAACCCGCATCAAGTCTCCTTGTCCCGCAGGTCCTGATCGATCTGCCCACCGGAGCCTCCGGGCTTCGACATGCTGGAGGAGCCCCGGCCGCGGCCTCCGCCCTCGGGCTTCGCGGGTCTCCTGTTCCTGGCGTTGTGCAGTCGGTGAGCAGTTCCCCCTGTCTCCCAGGCCACAGGGGAAGCACCGACCTGGGGTGGGGAGAGTTGGAGGGGTCTGGGCCGCAAACCCCAGACGCCTTCTTGGTTCCCAGGGCTCTCAGCAATGAGATTCTGGGCCTGAAGTTGCCTGGCGAGCCGCCGCTGACACCCAACACCGTGTGCCTGACGCTGTCCGGCCTGAGCAAGCGGCAGCTAGGCCTGTGCCTGCGCAACCCCGACGTGACGGCGTCCGCGCTTCAGGGTCTCCACATCGCGGTCCACGAGTGTCAGCACCAGCTGCGTGACCAGCGCTGGAACTGCTCAGCGCTCGAGGGCGGCGGCCGTCTGCCGCACCACAGCGCCATCCTCAAGCGCGGTGAGCCTGGCTGGGCGGGTCTGCGCTGCCGCGGAGGCTAGAGGGTGGGGGGCAGGCCGAGGCGCGAGGAGGCGGGAAGGGACGGGTTCGCGGCTCCGGGAGGGGCCTCTCCTGGAATTTCCCCCCCGCCTCTCAGAACCTCTCTGAGCCAGGTCTGGCCACCCGTCTGGGCCCCTGCGTGCCTAACTTCCACCTGCGTGCTGCCGGCGAGGCAGCTGTCCCTGCTCTCCTACCCTAGGGCCCCCCTTTCCTGCCTCCTACCAGCTTGATCTGGGTTGCACCTGTGAACAAGAGATACCCCCAGTCCTGGGAGCTTCAAACACCCCCTTATTCCTTCCCCCATTTTCTCTCCCCCAGCATCTTGGCTGGACAAGCCCAGGCTGGTGTCCCAGTGTCTCAGTAGGGGTTGGGTGACACCCCCCCACACACACCGTTTAAGGGTTAAACCTGCTCCCCTAATTGCTGGGGTTCCCAGGAGCCAAAGCTGGGAACAAAGACCCTGATGACTTTGAAGCTGGGGAGCCAGTCCCCTCCTCTGTGCTGTGGGGGCTCCAGGTGTTGCTCACCTGAGCAGGTGAAGAATGGCTGGAGGAGGGGAGAACAGGTCACTGCTGGCCTGGTCTCGGAGGCATGGTCTGGGAGGCATGGCTGCCTCTCCCCCTTCCCTGCTGGAGTTCACTCCCTGAGGTGTAAAGACCCATGGGCTCAGCCTTGAGATGGGGGCAGTGCTCTGGGGACTATGGGGTTAATATGCAGCTGCCATCTGCAGGGGAATTCCCAAGACTTGTGCAAACAGCTTCACCCCTGGAGGGTTGGAGTTGGGGGGATCAGGATGCTGGCCCAAGAGCTCTGGATCTTGGGGTAGGAGAGGCCTGTCCTCTTAGAGGGTGCTGTCTCTCATCTTCTCAGGGCTCCAGAGAGCCCCTGCCTAAAATGAAGTGAGGGTCCCCCTCCTTCCCCACAGGGCCTGGTGTAGGGGAAGTCTTGGACACCCAAATGGTGAGCACGTTTATTTAAGTCTGGGAAAGGCTTGGCATCCTGATCCTCTGTGACCCCCAAAACGTAACAAATAAGCCAACCTTTTAAGAGGGCCTTAGGGAAAATCACTCCCCCACCTCTCTCCTCCTCTCAATGTTTTATAGGGTAATAGCAGGTTAGGATAAACATAAAAAGGGCAGTCTTGAAGGGCAAATATAAAACTACATCCTGGGAAGAATGAAGCTCAATGGCTCCAGTGCTTTGGGGGTGCTGGGTGGTGGAAGGTATGTTGGTTAAAAGACTGATTAAAATAACCCTGAAGTGAAGAAAAAAAAAATACAGAACCACAAAGGCTCTGCTCCCACCTCACGCAAGCTCCCTGCAGGGTTGGGAGAATTTCTAAGGCTTTCAGATGTAGAACTCAGGTTGTACACATCTTCAAAGACCTCAGGGACTCCCTCTTAGTCATCTCCCAGCTCCAGGGGTCTCTCCCTCTGGGCTAGCGCTTTCATCTACACCTGAAAATCACAGACTTACAGAGTGACAATGGGCCTCAGAGATCATCTTGACCCATCATCTCCTACCTCCCTTTAGAGATTAAGAATCTGAGGCTCTGTGCTTTCTGTACCCTTCCTTGGCCCATGACTTTCCTCCAAATCACTCAGCTGGTAATGGCAGGGTCAGGATTCAGTTAGGAATTTCTGGAATTGGAGGGGAGCTGTTTATTTCATTCTGCCTCCCCACTCTTAGCTGCCTGTCAACCTTACCTCCACCATCACACCCTTCTCATCCCCAGGTTTCCGAGAAAGTGCTTTTTCCTTCTCCATGCTGGCTGCTGGCATCATGCATGCAGTAGCCACAGCCTGCAGCCTGGGCAAGCTGGTGAGCTGCGGCTGTGGCTTGAAGGGCAGTGGTGAGCAGGATCGGCTGAGGGCCAAACTGCTGCAGCTGCAGACACTGTCTCGAGGCAAGAGTTTCCCCCACTCTCTGCCCAGCCCTGGCCCTGGCTCAGGCCCCAGTCCTGGCCCCCAGGACACATGGGAATGGGGTGGCTGTAACCATGACATGGACTTTGGAGAGAAGTTCTCTCGGGATTTCTTGGATTCCAGGGAAGCTCCCCGGGACATCCAGGCACGAATGAGAATCCACAACAACAGGGTAGGGCGCCAGGTATGTGTATACGTCTTGTCCTGGGTCTCCCCAGCTTTTGAGGCCTGGTTAGCGTTTGAGAGGCACCGGGGAATAATAGGATAAGGTGTGATGAGTGACTGATATTCACCTCACCATCAACAGTTACCCAGCCTCAGGTTTGCATCTGTACAGAGCCTAATGATACTTATCTTACAATGTTATTAAGACTGAGCTGGCAGGCCAATGTGGTGGCTTATGCCTATAATTTCAGGACTTTTGGAGGCTAAGGCAGGAGGATTGCTTGAGACCAGAGTTCAAGACCAGCCTGAGCAAAGTAGTGAGACCCCATCTCTACATTTAAAAAAATTATATAGCTGGGCGTGGTGGCTCATGCCTGTAATCCTAGCACTTTGGGAGGCCGAGGTGGGTGGATCACCTGAGGTCAGGAGTTTAAGACCAGCCTGGCCATCATGATGAAACCCCATCTTTAAAAAAAAAATTATATATATAAAAACAGACTGGGCTGGGTGCAGTGGCTTACACCTGTAATCCCAACACTCTGGGAGGCTGAGATAGGCAAGTCACCTGAGGTCAAGAGTTCGAGACCAGCCTGGCCAACATGGTAAAACTCCATCTCTACTAAAAGTACAAATATTAGCTGGGCGTGGTGGCAGGCACCTGTAATCCCAGCTACTTGGGAGGCTGAGGCAGCAGAATCGCTTGAACCTGGGAGGCGGAGGTTGCAGTGAGCTGAGATTGCACCACTGTACTCCAGCCTGGGCGACAAGAGAGAGATTGTCTGAAAAAAAAAAAAACAAAACAGACTGAGATAGCAAATAGTACACCCAGCATAGTACATCATTTTTGGCTCACTACATAGTAGCTATTATTATAGCTGCCTTCCCTACAGAATTTAGGCGTGCTGTGGGCCAGACTCCCAATTTTGTAAGTGCTTACGATGGAAAGAGCACTGGATTGGGAGTCAGCATAACTGGAGTTGAGTCTTGGCTCTATTACCAGCTGTTGATGGAAGATGGACAAATCAAACCACTCTGTTTTCAATTCTGCACTCATAAAATGAGGGAGCTGGGCTGTTAACTAACTGCAATGTCCTTTCTTTTCTGATATTCCATGTTATTCTTGCCTCCATTTGTCCCTCCCTGTGTTCTCTGTTCCCTTCCCTCTCCTGTGCCTCTGTGCTCTGTCCATTTGCTGCCCTCCACTTCACCTCTTGTCCCCAATGCTCTAGGTGGTAACTGAAAACCTGAAGCGGAAATGCAAATGCCATGGCACTTCAGGCAGCTGCCAGTTCAAGACATGCTGGAGGGCGGCCCCAGAGTTCCGGGCAGTGGGGGCGGCGTTGAGGGAACGGCTGGGCCGGGCCATCTTCATCGATACCCACAACCGCAATTCTGGAGCCTTCCAACCCCGTCTGCGTCCCCGTCGCCTCTCAGGAGAGCTGGTCTACTTTGAGAAGTCTCCTGACTTCTGTGAGCGAGACCCCACTATGGGCTCCCCAGGGACAAGGGGCCGGGCCTGCAATAAGACCAGCCGCCTGTTGGATGGCTGTGGCAGCCTGTGCTGTGGCCGTGGGCACAACGTGCTCAGGCAGACACGAGTTGAGCGCTGCCATTGCCGCTTCCACTGGTGCTGCTATGTGCTGTGTGATGAGTGCAAGGTCACAGAGTGGGTCAATGTGTGTAAGTGAGGGTCAGCCTCACCTTGGGGGCAGGGGAGGGGACTGTGTGAGAGGGGTGCCTTTTCAGCCCTTTGCTCTGATTTCCTTTCAAGGCCAATCTTGGTCCCTGGAAGCTCAAAGTGTCTACCTGGAAACAGCTTTAGGGGTGGTGGGAGTCAGGTGTACTATGGGATATGAAGCCTTCTCTCCAACAATTGGAGGGTCTTGGGGGAAAGCTGCCACTCCTCTTCTGCTCCTTAGATACCTGAATGGACTAAGATGAAATGCACTGTATTGCTCCTCCCACTTCTCAGCTCCGGAGCTCCTTTAACCCTGATTCATACTCCTTTTGGCTAGGGAGTCCCTATAGTTTCACCACTCCTCTCCCTTGAGGGATAACCGCAGGCAGTGTTTGGAGCCATAAGATCTGTATCTAGAAAGAATCACCCACTTCTGTGTACTATCCCCAAACTCCTCTACTGCAGCCTGGGCTCCCTCTTGTGGGAAAATGGGAGACAGTGGTAGGGAGGTTTTTTCCTGGGAAAGGGACAGAGTGCTGAGGGGCACTCTCCCCTCAATCCTCATAGAGTTGTCTGTCCAGACCCTTAGGGAAGTTGTCTCCTTCCATTCAGCAGTTCAAGAGGACCCTCCAAAAGAAGGGTTTCCCCATGACTCTTGGAGCCTCTTTTTCCTTCTTCAGCAGGAAGGGTGGGAATGGATAATTTATTGTACTGAGACTTGTTCTTGGTTTCTGTTTGAAACGAAAATAAATTAAGTTACTGGATGCAGATGGTGATGTATGTACCCACACTTGGGATCCCAGTCCATAGCTTCCTTTCTAGGTGAATTCTCCTGCCCTCCTACACTTAATGACTTTATGTATATCCTGCTGAGTTCCACAAAGGATTTGAAATGAATCTCAGTGACTTAATTGGCACCTTTTCCTTGATAAAACCAGGAAGGGCTCCTAGGTGGGAAAGGATAGAGTTCCAGATGTAGGCCCTATTGATGACTCTCTATGTGCCTCAACTCCAGATTTCACCTTGATCACTGCCTTAAAACAAGGGCTGGCAATTTTTTTTTTTTTTTTGCAAAGGGCTAGTAGTAAATATATTACACTTGTGGTCTTTGTCCAAACTATTCAACTCTGCCACAATTAGTCAACTCTGCTGTTCCAGATCAACAGTGGCCATAGACCACACATAAATGAATGAGCATGGCTGTGTCCGATAAAACTTCGTTCACAGAAATGGGCTGCAGGACCAAATTTGGTCCTCTAGCTGCAGTTTGTTCACCCTTGTTCTAGACCACAAGGTTGCCTTTGTTCTGAAGTCTTTCAGTCCTAAATGTATCTCAACATTGAACTCGGACCCCAAAAAACAGGCACTTTTTTCTCTGGTTCCAAAGGAGTGAACTTGGGATGTAGATGCAAGACTGATGGGAAATGTATAAAAGAGGTGCCCCTTGAAATGGGAGTTTTTCCCTCTGGAAACCAGCAACACCAGCATGTTTTCTAATGGAATTAATTGCATAGGTTTTTTGTTCTTATTTATTTATTTATTGAGACAGGGTCTCACTTTGCCACCCAGGCTGGAGTGCAATGGTGTGATCTTGTCTCACTGGAACCTCCTCCTCCTGGGTTCAAGCGATCCTTGTGCCTTAGTCTCCCAAGTAGCTAGGATTACAGGTATGCACTACCACACCTGGCTAATTTTTATATTTTTAGTAAAGATGAGTTTTCGCCATGTTGGTTGGCCAGGGTGGTCTTATCGAACTCCTTGCCTCAAGTGAGCCGCCCACCTCAGATTTCAAAGTGCTAGGATTACAGGTGTGAGCCACCACACCTGGCCATTTCTTATTTTTGTGAGACAGGATCTCATTCTGTTGCCTAGGTTGGAGTGCAGTGGTGTGATCTTGGCTCACTGAAACCTCCACTTCTTGGGCTCAAACAATCCTTCTACCTCAGCCTCCCGAGTAAGCTGGGACTACAGACAAGACACATGCCTCCATGCCTGGCTAATATTTTTTTTGTGTGTGTATTTTTTTGGTAGAGATAGGTTTCACTATGTTGCCTAGACTTGTCTTGAACTCCTGACCTCAAGCAATCTGCCCATCTCAGCCCATGTCCTTCTTCATTTAGAGTTTTTATATTTCATCTTAATAAAATAATTCCTTTAAGAGATAACCTCAACTAAACAGAACAGAATTTGTTTTTATGTATGTATGTATTTATTTATTTTTGAGATAGAGTTTCACTTTTGTTTACCAGGCTGGAGTGCAATGGCATGATCTCAGCTCACTACATCCTCCACCTCCTTGGTTCAAGCGATTCTCCTGCCTCAGCCTCCCAAGTAGCTGGGATTACAGGTGCCTGCCACCACGCCTGGCTAATTTTTTTATATTTTTAGTAGAGATGGGTTTCACCATATTGGCCAAGCTGGTCTGGAACTCTTGACCTCAGGTGATTCACTCGCTTCGGCCTCCCAAAGTGCTAGAGTGCAGTGGTGTGATTTCGGCTCACTGCAATCTCTGTCTCCTGGGTTCAAGTGATTTTCCTGCCTCAGCATCCCAAGTAGCTGGGACTACAGGTGAGTGCCATTTTTAGTAGAGATGGGGTTTCACCATGTCAGCCAGGCTGGTCTCAAACTCCTGACCTCAGGTCATCCACCCTTGTCAGCCTCCCAAAGTGCTAGCATTACAGGCATGAGCCACCACAGCTGGCCCTAACCCAACATCTGAAAATAAACTGTTAGCTTTCTAAGATTCAGTACAGAAAGGAATATACATCACATATTTAAAACTTCACAAATGACTGCACACTTATGTGGCTGCTAGTTGCTGACTGTAACAGGTTATGTCTTTGGCCAGAGAATGTAGAAATAGTTCTTTCCATGTCTCTAGGCAATAGATACTTCTGATATTCAAATTACCCTCAAAATCAGATGAAATGAGAGTAGCACCAAGGTAGCAAGGACATTTTGAGGAGCATTAGGTTAGGGCAGTACTTTTTAATTTTTTTAGACAGAGTCTTGCTCTGTTGCCAGGCTGGAGTGCAGTGGCACGATCTCCACTCACTCCAACCTCCACCTCCTGGGTTCAAGCACTTCCCTGCCTTAGCCTTCCGAGTAGCTGGGACTACAGGCACATGCCACCATGCCTGGTTAATTTTTTGTATTTAGTAGAGACAGGATTTCACCATGTTGGCCAGGATGGTCTCGATCTCCTGACCTTGTGATCTGCCCACCTTGGCCTCCCAAAGTACTTTTTTTTTTAGACAGGGTCTTAGGATCTCTGTCACCCAGGCTGGAGTGCAGCTGTGTGATCTCTGCTTCCTGGGCTCAATCGAGCTTCCTGTCTCAGTGTCCTGAGTAGCTGGGGCTACAGGTATGTACCACCAGGCCTGGTGAATTTTTGTATTTTTAGTAGAGATGGGGTTTTGCTATGTCGTGCAGGCTGGTCTTGAACTCCTGGACTCAAGCTATCCACCTTCCTCTGCCTCCCAAAGTGCTGGGATTACAGGTGTAGCCACTGTGCCTGGCCATAGGATAGTTTTGTTTGTTTTTGTTTTTGTCTTATTTTTAAGAGATAGAGTCTTGCTATGTTGCCCAGGCTGGTCTCAAACTCTCAGACTCAAGCAATCCCCTTGCCTTGGTTTCCCACCCAAAGTGTTCAGCTTACAGGTATGAGCCACTGTGTTTAGCCAGTACTTTTTTTTTTTTTTTTTTAATTTAGAGTCAGTGTCTTGCTGTCACTCAGGCTGGAGTGCAGTGGCAAGATCACTGCAGCCCTGAACTCTTTGACTCAAGTAATCTTCCAGCCTCAGCCTCTCAGAGTGTTGGCATTTACAGGTTTTAGTCACCACACTGGGCTCTAGGGCAGAACTTTATGGCCAAATTTTATGTCCCAGATTTCCACTTGAGCATGGAGAATCTGGGTTTGGAAATTTGATGGAGACAGGAGAAATCCTATCCTGACTTTAGGCACTTAGTGAACCTAGTGTGTGTGTAGAAGGAAGAGGGGATGTACTTAGAATGGGAAAGAATATAAGAGAATAATAATAAAGAATATCTAAAATCACAATTTCTCACACTCAGGTAGAGAAAGGAGAATCTCTAACAGAGTCATAGCGTGAATATTTCAGCTTTTTCCTGTTTCCTTCCTCTGCACTTTGGGTCCCTCTTTCCTTTTTATCATTCCCTCTTCTTTCATCAGACACACTCTGTGTCAAACTTAAGCCCCAAACCACAACCTTGACAAATTCCAAATGGATTTTGTCAGCAAGGCCAACACACCCCTTTGCCACTCCCTACTCCTGCTCCTAGCACATGTGCTGGGCTCAGGCCCAGGCCTGGGGTCAGTGACAGTGTGGAAGTATGCAACCCACAGAGCTGGTGGCTACAATTTCAGCTTTTACTAGGCTCCGCTGGAAGCCAGAGGGAGGGAGAAAGGCTGATTAACTGTAAGTCGGGCCTCTTGTCCTTCTTCAGCTCCAGATGAGCTCTACTCCTGCTGGCCTTTACCAAGTGGCTGGGAAGTTAGGGAGTGGCAGTGGCCAGCTAATTGCCAGTTGGGCAGCACTCCTTCCATCTTTGCTCCTGTTTGCTCCATGGGCAGCCCACTCTGATACTGCAACTGACACTTTCTTCTTCAGACTCCAGACAGGTGAAGAACAGATGAGCTGGGAGATTCTCTAGTCCTATTAATCAGTCCTGACTAACATATCATGGTACTTGCTGCTTACCACATTAGGCTGTCACCATTTCCATCCTTCTGTTGCACCTGGGATACAACCTTGAGAGGATCTGAAACATTGGGCAGGAATATCAACAGGTTCCACCTCCTTGTCTGAGAGCCACAAGGCATGTCTGTGTGGTAAGAGCACTAGAGAGTTTTTATAAAGTGTAGTTTTGGTAGATACTGTGGTAGCATGACCTGGTGGAGTGTTACTAGAAATCTCTAGAGAAAGAAATGAAAGGGTAATCAGGTGGAAATATCACAAAGCCTACATTAGGAATCTGTAATAATACTGGAGGAAGATCCTTTTGTAGTTCTTAAACATAATGACTGGGTGTTCATGCACATGTGAGTGTGCCACCCTCAAACCTTTGTTACATTGGCACACCATCCATTTGACATGAACAACAACAACAAAAATACTAGAGATGTCTTTTGCCCTTAAAAACACAGAGCTGGGTTAGGCACAGTGGCTCATGCCTTTAATCCCAACACTTTGGGATTAAAGTGGGAGGACTGCCTAGATAGGAGGACTGCTTGAGCTCATGAGTTTGGCCTGGGCAACATGGCATAACCCTGTCTCTACGAATAGCATAAAAATTAGCTAGGTGGCTGGCGTGGTGGCTCATGCCTGTAATCCCAGCTACTCAGGAGGCTGAGGCAGGAGAATCACTTGAACCTGGGAGGTGGAGGTTGCAGTGAGCTGAGATTGCACCATTGCACTCTAGCCTGGGCAAGAGTGAAACTCTTTCTCAAAAAAAAAAAAAAAAAATTAGCTGGGCATGGTGGCATGCACCTGTAGTCCCAACTACTGGGGAGGCTGAGGTGGTAAGGATCACTTGAGCCCAGGACGTTGAGGCTGCAGAGAGCTGATTGCTCCACTGTACTACAGCCTCAGCAACACAAAAAGACCCAGTTTCAAAAACAAACAGAAAAAAACCCAAAAGCAAAACCAAACAAACAAAAAAACAATTTAAAAAAAAAAAAAAAAACCTGACAGAGCTGCCCAGCACAGCAACACATGTCTATAGTCTCAGCTATTCAGGAAGCTAAAGCAGGAGCATCAGTTGAGCCCTGGAATTCAAGACTATAGTGTGCTATGATCGCTCCTATGAATAGCCACTGCACTCCAGCCTGGGCAACACAGTGAGATCCTGTCTCTTAAAAAAAAAAAGAGAGATTAGCAGGGCAGAGGCCCTTAACAGCAATGCCCAGGACAGATATAATTTCTTGTTATAAATAGTTTCCTTGTTATCTGTCTCATCCCTTACCATCTTAAATTAAGGTCCCCTTGGTTTGACATTCTAGGGTCATGTTATTCATCAGGTTAACGTAAGAGAGAAAGCAGACTGGGTTTAGGGACTGCTAAGTGCATAAACCAGGAATTGATGACAAGGAGTTAGATATACGTGGCAATCTACGAGCTTTTTTTAAATTTTGAGATGGAGTTTCGCACTTGTCACCCAGGCTGGAGTGCAGTGATGCGATCTTGGCTCATTGCAACCTCTGCCTCCCAGGTCCAGGCAATTCTCCTGCTTCACCCTCCTAGGTAGCTGGGATTACAAGCCCACCACACCCGGAAAATTTTGTATTTTTAGTATAGATGGGGTTTCTCCATGTTGGTCAGGTTGGTCTCCAACTCCCGACTTCAGGTGATCCACCAGATTCTGCCTCCCAAAGTGCTGGGATTACAGGCTTGAGCCACCATGCCAGGCCCAGCCCAGCTTTTTTTTTTTTTTTTTTTAAGAGGTCTTGCTATGTCACCCAAGCTTGAGTGCAGTGGAAAGATCTAGGCTCACTGCAACCTCCGCCTCCTGAGTAGCTGTGATTACAGGGGTGCGCCACCATGCCCAGTTAATTTTTGTATTTTTTGGTAGAGATGGGGTTTCACCATATTGGCCAGCATTGTCTCAAACTCCCGACTTTAAGTGATCCACCCACTTCAGCCTCCCAAAGTGCTGGGATTACAAGTGTGAACCACAGGGCCGGGCCCCAGCTTAGTTCTTGGAAGCAAGAAAACAAAACCAACCAAGGCAATAAATTTAAAGAGCAACAATTTTGGCTCAAGCCTTAGGGAAGAGCCATGTGTTCGTTCCCTTACACTGCTGTAAATGAGGGAAGAGGGCACTTAAAGAACCTTCTGTTTCTTAGCATTCCTAGTGCCCTTCTATCACAGCTATGATAGTTTCAAGGCAGCTCTGCATATCTAGACCAGGTGCAAAACCGAGTGTGAGGGAAATAGGGGTGGGCGGAAAGCAAGAAATATGGGTGCAAAGTCCTTCGTTTTTCTTTGGGATACTAAAATCTCTATTCAGCTAGGCACACTTCCTCTCCCTCTTTCAAGTTCCAACTTCCTAACTGGCCGGGAGTCCAGCTGTTTTCCTTTAGCCTCTTAAGTTCATCACCAACCTTCCTCTTCCTTATGGGAAAGGATCTCTCCATTCAGACCCCGGAGTAATGTAGTCTCAGGAATCGTGACCAACAACGGTGCAGTGAGGGCTCTCAAGGTACTGCAGCTAGCCCAGATTAAGAAAGATGAAGTCTGGCTGGATAAGGCAGGCCACAGCAACGACCCATATCCCGAAGCTGGCTTTGCCCAAGTAGCTCCTGGGCCCCTCAGCCCAGCCCCAGTCTCCAACGCAGCCAACTTGTGACCTCAGTCCGTAAATTCCAGGCACAACCCTGGAGCTTGGGATTCTCACCTCCGTCCTCCCTGTCTCATCCCCATTCCCGGCTCCCGCCTCCGCCGCCCACAGCCTCCAGCCCCAACACCGGCCCCCGCCCAGACTCCAGCTCCAGTGCTCGGCTGCCTGCGCCGCAGCCGCTGCCATGGTGATGGGTATCGCGAGAACTGCCGCTCGCTACCGCGCAGCTCTCGCGCGATCGGGGAGGTGGGAAGTATCCCGGGCTGGGGGTGGGGGTACGCCGCACAGCTCCAGTTGCTGTCGCGGCTTCCGGTGCTAGGTGGAGGGAAGGAAGGAGGGAGCCGGGGAACGGGCCAGGGCAGCAGCCGGGCTGAAGTCGGCTTGGGGAGCCGGAGGGAGCGGAACGGAACCTCCGGGGCGGAGGCGGTGGCCGCAGCGGTGCAGCTGATAGGAACAGGTGAGGGGCTGGGAAGGGAAGGCGGGTCCAGGTAGAGAAGAGGCTTGGACCGGGTGAGGGCTGAGGAGATAGAGCGCCTCCCGGGCCCCGCCCGGCACTGCCTGACGTGGGGCGGTGGGATCCTTTACACCCGAGAGCTCGGAGAGGGCGTCAGGACAGCTTCGCGCCTGCCCCAGCATTTGAAGGACACGGAGCTGGGGTGGGGGTGGGGGTGGGGGTGGGGGGCGCACACGGATTTGTCCTCCGCCTCGCACAAGGGGGCGACCTGGGCTGCAGTTAGGTTCTTGCCTGCAGGAGGTGGGCTGTTGAGGGGGAGGAAAACCGTCCGGGGAGAGGTGATGCGGGGGCGGTGATGGCTGTTTGTATCTTTTCCGTTAAAGGGCTAGGGAATGCTGCTTTCTTGTACTCCCTCTTCCTCCCCCACCTTAGCAATAGGAGATCGAAGAGAAGCCTTGCTGTGGTTACACCCCCTCCCCCATCATAGGGTAAGGGTGCGTAGGGGGTCTGGGGGGATAGCCAACGGGGCAGGCTACTGGGGCACCACAGGGACGCTATTCTGGTAGAGGTTGCGCTTTCGAGTCTAGGGAACCGCAGGTTGGGAAGAGGGCAGCAGGTGGGGAAAGGGTGGAGAGGAGGCAGGAGAAAGGGGGAAGGGGTTCTGATCTTCCTGGGAGAAGAGAGGTGGGGCTTTCCTCCCCCAGGCGGAGCGGGGGCGGTCTCACAGGAGGAGGGAGCATCTTGTCACTGGCCCTGAGTTTGTGTCTTCCAATCCGCTTTCTTTCTTTAGGAAGTACCAGGATTCCCGGAACAGAAAATGGAGCCATTGCTTACGCGAATCGTTTGAGGGGAGGAGGGGGAGTTGGGGAGGTGGAGTTCCCAGTTAATACGGGCCACTTGATTAGCCGAGTGATAGCTGTTCTTTTTGGGGAGTTTCCTATTTGATTACTTTATGACTGGTCTCCATCTGTCCAGGCCAGGAGGAATGTGGTGGAGGAGGTGGAGGATTGTGGTATGTGGTCAGGAGTGAGAAGAAATAGTAAGGTCATCCCGATGAGGGAGAAATGTAACCTAAAACCTGTCTCTGCTGTTGTTGGATTGGGTCACCCCTGGTCTATGGCATGAAAGTTTTATTGGGAGGAGATCTGCTGCAAGGGTCTGATTGCTTGCGTCAGTGCAACAGGACCGAATCTAGTCTCTGCATACCTCCTTCCCTGTTCTCAATCAGGTAGGTAGTAACAGTCTTTGCTGCCATTTTGTCTTGGGCCTGTTGTTGGGGTAGGTGTCTCCACTTGCCATGAGTTGGGACATGGGACAGTGTTATGGGACAGTGGATTATCATAGCCCATTGGACCTGAGCTTGAAAAACATGTCTGTAAAAGTTCTTTCTAAGAAACGAACCCATTAAGGTTCAGCTTTTCACAGAATGAATGATTGACCTTGGATTCAGCCAGTAAGGGCTCTCATGTATCACATATTCACGTGTGTCCGGCTTCCCAGCATGGAATTATTACCTTGCATAGTTAGAATTTTTATAGGTGTCTATCTTGCTTTTCCAAAGAGACTAGAAGCTTTTTTACTACAGGAATTGGATTTCCACAATGCCCATGCAAACAGTGGAAACCCATGATGAATTTAGAATGTGAATAAGTAGAACTCAACAAGCTTTCTAACTACAGTTTAAGGAAAGGGCAAGAGATGGCTTGACTGTCAGCAAAAGTGCCTTGAGATAGCTGAGCAAGGGTAAAAAGACCTTTGGCTTTTGTAATTACTTGGCTGAAGTAATTAAGAAGTCTTGGTCTCTGTGCCTTCTAAAGAGGCACAAAATAGGCATAGATAATGGAAACTAAGACCCAAAAAGAAAAATATTACTAGAACACAGAGTTATTATCTCTAGTCCCAGATTTCCTGCTTCCCCATTGTGGGCAAAGGGAGCTCCCCATCAGACCTAAGTCCTTCGAAGTGTTATATATGAATTGGGATCCTGGAGAGTTTGGAGGAGGGACCGATGTATGTATGTGTGTGGTGTCTGGCGCAGAAGTGATACCAATGAATGGTAGCTGCTATTATTATACTGAATGCAAGTATAAAAAAGAGCAGAGAGCAGACTAGAAAGAGTGGAAGTGAGTGAAAAGTGCACAGAGTCATATTGTAGTGTGCATTTATCTACCCTACTCTGTGTGTGTGTGTGTGTGTGTGTGTGTGTTTTGTTTTTTGGGTTTTTTTTTTTTTTTTTCTCAGACTCACTATTTCCTTAGCGCCAGTTAGCAGATATAGATACTGAAATGCTCTTCCCAGACTG